CTGGCCATTAAATGTGCGACCTATTTGGAGCTTGTTACTTATGGAAGTATGATGGTTCGCTAAATGCTTATTCCACGATATGAACTGTGGAAGAGTGGTCGGAAGTATGTAGGTACTAATTACAGTATACAGGACATTTAAATTCAGTTAGGAAAGTATACAGTAAAAATCGACTTACGCCATATCGCTGGCATACACGCCCACAGCTGGCAGCTAACGTTGAATCATCATTTTTATACTAAAACATGATTTTTTTCATTTTACTAAGAGTTACAGAAAATCGTGGAAACATATCATACCACGGGAATACACATAGAAAAGCTCAAGGAATTACGCTAAAAAAATAAGTGCTTATCACCAAGCCCGTCAAAGACTCTGGTATCCATCTAACGAATAGGTTTGCCTATGTTTCGAACGGCAAATCAATTACTGCTGATGAGACTAAGTTCAAAACAGAGAAACAAAATAAGCACCGAAGAGAGGCCATAGATTTTCGACTGACGACATGCCTTCGGAAGCTGAAAGACCAAGGTTTCCTTAGTGAACAAGAGTTCAAATCCCTTAAACCCACTGGCACAAGCATTCCGAGTCCGTTTGGCTTACCGAAGATTCGCAAGCCGGATCTTCCTTTGCGGCGGATATAAGACATGAGTAAGTCACTATATCACACTATTGCAAAGTGGCTGGCAAAACGCTTCAACATTGCGACACAAAATAGCACCATGCAGCCTATGAGACACTTTCGAATTCACCGATTACGCAAGCAAAATGAATCTCAAAATGGAAGCGATGTTGCCATTAGATGACAGGTCCATATTTATTGATATTCCCCTCATAAGGACGATAAAATATTTACGTGAGTATGTTTCGAACATCGACTCAATCCCTCCTGATGAGACCAGGTTCAAAAATAGAAACAGATTAAGGACCAAACAGAGGCCAAAGAAGTTCATCTCACGACTTGCCTTTGGAAGCTGGAAGACCAAGGTTTCCTTAGTGCACAGGAGTTTGAATCACTTAAATCCACTGGCAAAAAACATCCCAAGGCTGTGTGGCTTGCCTAAGATTCCCAAGCCGGATCCTCCTTTGCGGCCTATATTGGACACGTGCGATTCGCTACATCACGCCATTGCGAATTGGCTGGCAAAACGCTTAAACCAATGCGACATAGAATACCACCATACAACTAACGAGACACTTTCAAATTCATCTACTCCGTATGAAATATAAATCTCAAAAGGAAAACGATGCTTGCATTAGATGTCGCATCCTTGTTCACTAATATTCACCTCATGGTGACGATAGAAAATTTATGCGAAGAGATAGTTAGGCAGGAATTTCCAATTGGAATGTCAGTCTCAGCCCATAGGAGCTGCTCCTTCGCTGCACGCTGAATGTAAAATTCAGATGCGATGGTCAGGATTACCGCCAGTTTAAGGGAGTGGCGATGGGGTCACTCCTTGGACCCCTACCAGTGGATTTATTGATAGGAAAATTAGAGAAGAATAAACTCTATCGAGTGATAAAGGACGTCGATTTCTATGCTCAACATGGTGTTGACTTTTTTAATAGCGGATAATAAACCCGATTTGGATGCCCTTCTGGTTAAAGTAAACCAGGCTCACCCAGCATTAACCTTTAAATTGGAATGAGAGGAGGAAGAATGTCTTCCATTTATGAACTTCCTACGTAGCATAATGCTAAAAGAAACAATTCTTGGGAATGTATATCGCAAGAAAACTTGGACAGAACCATAAACGAACATGTACAGCTTTAGAAGACGAAGATGCGATCACTGGAACAAGAAATTTATTGGCCTGACGTTTCGGATTCTCAATCGAATCCATCACCAGAGACACTCGCAGATAAAGGTGATGGTGGCACCAGGAGTGCAGTATTTATAGCACGTTGCTGCCGTGGGACCATGTGCGCGCTGTAATTAACAGCTCTCGCAATCACCGCTGGGGTCGTTACTGTCGCGTTGGTGGCTTGTCAGTCCGAGTCCGAGTCGTTTTTTTGCCTTGATTTCGTCATCCGTGCTGGATGCTGGTGTGACGATTGTTCGGCAACTTGAGTCACTGTCACTGGGATAATTTCTCGCCCGCGCCCTCCTCACGTAACTGATTCCCCTGCCCAGGGAAAATCGCAACGCGGAATATGGTACCGGGAGGTCATTGTGCTTGTTTATGGATTGCGGGCTTGAGAACCATGACTCAAGCAGCTCGCGGTTAACGCGGTTGTCATCCCTTGAGAGGATTTCGGCCTCTTGAAATTTGAAAATATGGCCGGATCCCGTTGAATGTGCCGCCACCTGGGAGCTAGCGTCTCCCCGCCCCACGGCTGCTGCGTGCTCGGCAAATTAGTGCACGGAGTAATCTACCAGTTTCTCCGACATAGTTGCTTTGTCCGCAACTACACCAGATGCGGTAAACGACTCCAGACGCTTCCTGCCGTGGCAGCGGGTCTTTTGACCGCATGACTTGGCGCCTAATGTTTGCTTCCGGCCTGTGTGCAACCCCAACTCCAAGTAGAGTGAGGAGACGACTGACGGCTTCCGAGACGTTCTTCACGTACGAAATAGCCTGCCATAATTTGGGGCCGGTTGGATTTGGTCTCTGGTGTCCTTTTCGTATGCACTGGTTGACAAAGTTGCTCGGGTAACCATTGACTCTCATTACCCGTCAAAGACATTGCAATTCAGCAATCTTGTCTTCCAATTCACTGCATTGCGTCTCAACGTCTCACTGCATTAACCTTCACTTTGGAAAGAGAGGAGGAAGAATGTCTGACATTTCTGGACGTCCTCGTAGCAGAATGCCTGAAGAAACAATTTGTGGGAATGTATATCGCAAGAAAACTTGGACTGAACAATGAACAAGCGTCTACAACTTTGTTCCTCTCAGTCAGAAAAGAAACTTAGCCCGTTGCCACACCAACAGAGCTTGACGAATTTTTACTCCGGATACATTAGAGGACGAGCTCGCCTTCATACGTAATACTGCAAAAAATGGCTTCGTTGACTAATTTACCAGCAGATATATGACAGAATATTCGCCAAAATCGGATATACCGAAGGTGGATAAGAAAGAATTATTTCTCACTTTGCCATTTCCAGGAGGCCCGACATGTGATCTTCTATAACGTCTTCTAAACTCCACTATTGTACGCACGTACCCCACCGCCAGAATGAGACCAATTTTCTCTAGCATCCAGCGTCTCCGCCTTATAGACAAAGAAAAGCTGCCGTTTCAGATCTCCTCAATAGGCATCTACCTGTTCACTAGCTCCTGTGGATCAGGTCATATTGGTCGAACAACAAGGCGCCTATCCGAACGGATGCGAGACCAACATCCTGCCTGCCTATATAAAGGTGAGGAAAAGCCCACTTCTGGCGCCACTGTGGTTCACTCACCCGGCCACCGGGTAGAGATCAACCAAGCATTCGGTGTCATCTACACTGTTCCGGCAAACCACTTCAAGTCCCTACGTCAACGGATACTTGCGAAAGCGGAGACAGTGGTCATACGACTAAGGAATCCAGCTTTGTGCTCGCAGAAGGCCTTCATTACAGCCCTCCTTCTAGCCTAGTCAAAGCTCAGTTATGAAAGTTCAGACGCGCACCATGGCACGTCGCGCCACAGCGACAAAACATAAGCACAACTCAGTCAGACTAACCTACACCTTCACCTACCCCTCTACCACCTTCCTGCACCACTGACAGAAATTAGACTGCCGATAGAAGCGAACCGGCGAGTTCTAGGTAGCAGCTCAGAAGCTGAAAATGCGATCATTGTCTCTGATGCGATTCTACTGTCTCTGATGTTGGGTTCGAGTGAGAATCGGAAAAATCAGGTCAGTAAATTCCTTGTTCCAGTGATCGCATCCTTGTCTTCAGAAATAAGACTAGTCTAAATACTACTGTTTATGAGTTTTTTATTTTTTATATTTCGCAGCTTTACCTACACCTACATTAATGCACTGGCAGGATGAAGAATAATCCAAAACTAAGATTCGCCGACGTGTGTTTACCCAAAACAAAAGTTATTTTAATTTCCAGCGCGAAGGCAAATCAGCCTCAATTTACGTAACTGGTTTGATGATTCTCGAGATTTGGATCACCAGCAATCCACGGAGGAACCGCTATTCGAATATGAGTATGCGGTGACTTGTACACTCAGCGGTTTAGTAACGTTTTCTCATAAACACATGTTGACTAAGTGGCCCGTCGATGGAGAGAAGTGGTTACTTTGAATCAGAAAGATGTTCCTGGCAAGGGTTGCTTTATCGTTATTGTTACCCCGCGGGATAACTTGCAGGCTGAATCAAAAAAAATCTGGTGGTGTCGGTTAGAAGGGTAAAACTCAGATGTTGGTAGTTTTATGGACAATTTACGATGTAATGTGCGAAGCGAGTGTCGACTAGGTCCTGGTAACATTCCCCTTTAACTCGTGAAAAGGTGTAGGTGAATATCCTACCTAAACATTAAACCCGAAGTGCGAGATAATAAAGGCAAACAATCCTATCGAATTAAACTAACCTGAGGTATATCCGATGAAGCTACCTGTCAGCCAGCCATACCGCATTTTTAGAATGAATGCATTCAAATCACAAGTAGTAAAACAAACCCGTGTGTAATATCAAGCTCATTTTTACGCGCAATGAGGGGTTCGTAAAGGCCAATATTTAGTTACATCTACCAGTGTCCAGTGATGTTTACTATTCATAAAATACATGTTAATCTTAATTCTGAGGCGCCTAGCTAATTCCTTTACAGATCATTTCGGGGAAAATATCAAGATATCTGGGGAGCGTGCTAACAGTCAGTTCAGATGAGCTCGTAGAGCACACCAATTTTGTCCGATGCGTAGTTAGTACTTCCACGGAAGGAACCAATCGGAATTTATCAAAGCATTTATCCAATGGGCCGTGTACGATCTAAGTATATAAGCGATGCAAAAACGTTGTTGTACAACATCCTACGATACGTTTAGTCCGCGATTATGAGACATCTTTTGTCGGCTCCAATTCAGACTGCTTTGGTCTCCTTGATTCTCCTTTGCGGCACATTCCAACTTGGTAATCAGAATCTATCCGCTCTTACAACCATCCTCACTCCCAGTTTCTGTACAATATTTAAACCCAGATTAAGGATACACGTGTTGCTTTACATGCGCCAGTAAAATAAATTTACTTATATGAACGATAAAATCACTTACACGCAACATTCACAAAGAACCTTTAAACAGCCAAAACCGAAATTTGCATCTTATCTGCAAAAACCCAACCAATTTCATTTTAGCATGCGCTGAGGAATCAACCAAATATAAAATATGCGAAAGTGAACGGAAAGATTGCAGGAGTTTGAACTATAGAGTTGGAGATAAAAGCAAAGGCCTCCTTTGTCGTCAGGCATGCGGACGGCAACGAGGTCAGTGTTCTATTATCATGCACGCACCTACTGTATACAACGTGCTGGAAGTGTTTTGCTAGTTTTGCGGTCAGCCCGCAGTATGAATATCGATTTTTTCCATTTCCTCCAGGCGAATTGACGAAGAATTTCACTGTGTACCACTGCGAGAGACGCAAGCAGCCTTGTACTCCATACGAAATTTTCGGACGAATAAGCTTCGACGTAAGCTTTGAAAGACATGTCATGTGTGTCAAAATGTGCCACTTTGTCGCAAAAGGTAAATCTCTCTACTACTCGCAGCCATTGAGTGCATTTTCCTAACACCACAAAAGCATTTCTTGTAAAATGGACTGGGCTTGCTTTCTGAGCAGACATTCGTTCATTTTAGCTCAACATCAAACCAGCGGACCAATTAGACTGTGTTCGGGAAAGAAGAAGGATTGTGCAGAAATCCTGAGAGTTAATGGGACTTTTGACGCCTTCAAGCTGTGCGCATTTCAATGCGATGGTTGGCCTCTACGTAAGTAATCAGGTTCTAGTAATTGCTTGTCTGATATTTTTCCTTATTTTTCTGTTTTCATTGGTGATGTCGTTAGTGATATGCATTTCCTACCTACCAAAATGGAAATCATCAAAAGACACATAAGCTATGTCTGCAACGAAAACGATGACTGCCAGCAAGGCGCTTACTTCGCTAAGGAAAAGAGGAAGAAAACATTCGATATCCTGAAAACCTGCTTTGAGAAGTGCATGCCAAATGATGGAACTACTCCAATGTACACCTCCCCTTATGACCCTATGACCGAGGATGAACAAGAGTTCACAGAAGGTAGGTTTTGGTGTTTAAATTTCTTGTAAAATTAAATGCTCCCAAGCAGGTATCTAGCTATTTAAATTTTATGTATGCACCTTTTCTGATGACAGAACTCACCTTAGCAAAACTAGATAAGTACTAACAGTCAGTCATTTTGCCAGTGCAGTTGATCATCGAGCTTGTACTGTTGGCCACTTAGTCAGAACAATTCATATTTTCGTCGCGCATCCAAATGTGAAAAGATTAACCTTCACGACCCCGCCACGCCTGTTTTATCATTTATGGTTGTGTATACGCATGGAGATCAAAGCGTCTTAGGTTGTTATTCGCTCTCTGCATAAAGGCTTCCACATATGTGAGGAAGTGTTTCATAAGAACATGGAAGTTTGCCAGTAAGTCAGCTGTTCGCTGGCACTTATGGCTAGTCAGGAAATAATCAATGAACACTGAGGTATACAGACATCAATTTCATGTGCCATTATCATGACTTATTTATATTCGTTTCACGTAGATAATAAAGCAGGACACTATACGAAATGCGTGCGTTGAGAAACTGATATATTCTGTTTTCATTTCAGAGTAATTATCAACGTTTTTTGCTGAGAGGTTTTATCCAGTGGGTTTGGTTGATTTGGTTTGGTTCTTTGATTTAATAAAGCATTGTAATTGTGGTTTTTCACTCGGCTTTCTAAAAGATCAATAAGCGCAAGTCCTTTAACATCTTTGCTCTATGCTGCGGACTGCAGAACACAAACATTGCGCCCGTTGATTGATTGGGTAAACTGCATGCGCTCCGCTAGCCGTCAACTTCCTGGTGTAAACTGCGTTTAAACTCATGACCTCCAAATAGGGCTTCATAATTCAGGCTAGAACATTGGCCATACCTAAGCTTTGCAGTTGTTTTCATGAGTTTCAACCCAAATGATATCGTACCTTATTTAAAATTAGCTCAGACAAAAAACACGTCGATACATTCGTATAAAGTATAGCAATATACCCGCAGAGTATTCGTAAGAAAACTCTGGAAACTGTCGTTCTGCAAATAGGTTCAGAACAGACCTGAAAAGCATAACAATACACAACTGAAACGTAGTTCTTGGACGTTAGTTCTATCGGCAGAGGTTTAAACCTTCCTGTGGCTTATAGATTCGTGAGGACCATAAAAAGACGGTCTCGCCGAATTTAGGAAATCTGAGAAGATACGGCTCCGCGCCGAACTCACAAGTGTGGGGGGGGGCACAATCCGATGCATCATCGCTCGAGGTAGCGACGCGCAATGCCAGAGACCGTCAAATCCCACAAACATCTGCCAAATTGCTAAGACAGTGAAATGAAAGAATAAAATTATTGGTCCAATGTTTGGATGGCCATTTGAGATTCTGGTCGATTTTGATATGAAAGCGTTTTGAAAATAGAGAGTCGAATGAGCTCTTTAAGACATTTGAAGCAGTAAGCAACTTCGATTTCTTAAGTTATTCCCCGGAACTTTTACCTCCGCGAAGGAAAAAAAAACTAATATGAATAATTTCTGGGAAATATGAATCGCAGTTTGCTATCGGAACAGCCGTTTATATTGCAACATATTTTTAGTGGTCACTGAGGAATATTAAGTACAAGAATGCAGATTTCCGCAAAGTTCAGAGTTTTAGTTGTCGAAAACACGATTGCTGTGGATAACTTCCCGTCAACCCTGTTAATTTATATGGGACCAGGGTCAAGTAAAACAAGTCAATGATAATGAAAATCGATTAAATTTCACTAAAAACAGGCGAGGCGTGCGAATGCAGGAGGAGAGGTAAAAGAAGTCATGTCAGGGGTTCGGTAGGAGTATAATGGTGCAGAGAGGTGCATGTATATGGACCACGCCAAGCTCGGAGCCCAAGTGCGCCGACAATACTGACTCTCATAACCTGAATCCGGCCATTCCTGCATTTAGATTTGCCTAGTTTTGGTAGGCAGGAGTGGGAAGCGGACGGTTACCCTAACCCTAAACCTTACCTTAACTCTAACTCTGGCCTCAACATTAAACGCTGTTTTTGGCAGACGTTGGCACAGCATCTTAGGGCAACTCGATGAGGGCTTATAATTAACTGGGTTGCATATGATGCTGGAAATCAACAAGTCGTACGAAAAGGAGGTTTTTTAAGTTCCGAGTTTTGCTTTCTCCAAACCATGCCGGCAGGTGTTCCGGTAAGACCAACAGAACATGCTTCATAGGAGCAAGTGAAGGGGTAGGTAGACAATGAGGTGACCTGTGTAAAAGAGGATAGGTGGAAGATAATATCTGAAGTCTTGCTGTTAGAAAGGCTACTGGGACATCTTAATCGAGGCATCATCTTAGGAGTTCTATCGCAGCCTCCCTTGGAAAGGGAATTTAAGGAACACCTTCTTCCTCTGTGACAGTCAGTGTAAAGTTTTTCCGGTCACTAGCAAATATTATTTGCCATAAACCTGCCAGGACACCCCTTTTTACAAAGCAAGTCTTCAATCGTTCCGAAGCCCTTTTCGATAGTTTCGGTCGAGAAAATCGTTCCAGTTATTTCACCGGACTAGATTTTGTTTTTGATGGAGGAGTATGCAGTTGCCAAAGTTCGTGTGCTGCGCTCTCAGATGAGATTTTCTTTTGGTAGACGCTCCCTCAAACGTTCCTGCAAGGTCTCCTTTTTAAACGGACATTTAAGAAAGTAGTCGGGCCGATTGTTTTCACCTCCATTGTGAATATCATGGATGGATGTATCACACTTTTCGCTTAGCAATTTCATTTCGCCGTAATCACTGTCCATCAAGGTCTCTGCGTCACGAACATGCTTAAGTACTCATCGTTAACGCATACGACTCTTGTACGATTTTAACAATGAAATCGCGAATTGTGACGGGATTCAACATTTTGGGAAAAAATCTTGTGAATTGGCCTACGCTATACTATACTCATGTCAATGCGTTATCTCCCCATACACCTTTACTATTGAATTGGACGTGGTGATATGCGGATCAACAACAAGCTGGGCCAAACAACATTACGATCTCATAGCATGCAGCTGTAGACACCGTTGGAAGCAGGCGAGGGAATCATGAATTTAACAATGGTCCTTAACTAGAAAACTACATGTCCGCACCTAATGCAGCATTAAACAATAAATATTAGGCTGCTCAGATAAGGCTATTCGTAACGAAACTGGGAAGCGCTTTGTCACCTGTCAGCCTCTGTCAAAGTGGGACACGAAATGGCAATCCGCAAATCTGTTTCAGGTGACTGGTCAGTCAGTCTGTCAGTGAATAGATTTGGAGTAGATGACACATAAGCAGTACACTTGTGAATAAAATAATTAAATCGCAAACATTTTACACGAAGTCTCAATGTGCAGAGCGTATAAATCTAATGGTGGAGCATAAAAATGAAAAAGATGTGGCATTTGCGAAATAACGGCGAAAACATCGTTAAATACATTCACATTGAAAATTCTCATTTGGGCCAAGATTAGTGTACACAAAGAAATCTGTTGAATTTATGTTAGTATTATGTTAACAGTGATTTCATTAAATCGCTACATCGGTTTGGGCTGCCCTTTAACAGGTGACAAGCGAGATGTCTCTAGAACACACTCACGGTAGGGGAATTGACAGCATACGTCGGCAAAAATGCAATTAGCGAATAACCCTGCGAGAAAAAGTAGGAACGTTGATTTGTGCGGCTCAGGTCCTTTTCAAGTTGGTAATCGTATCGTCGGAGTTGCTTGTTTGTAAAATACGTGACATTACCAATAGCCTTTCAATTACTTAATCGCTTAACTTGATACGTTCCTTGCTTCGATCAATACTTGCGTGGGATTACTCAGCATAGCGTTATTAGCCACGGGAAACACATACACTAACTTTCAGTGTCTGCAGCTCACGCACTTACTCCACCACGGTCTCATTGGCGGGGATGCCTTGGACGTCTGAGCTGACGTGCCCGAAAGCCTGGCGGATTGTTTAAAATGGTTTACGTTAACTGCACTGCTAAATGTTTACTTTTCATTCTTCGCACGCATTTTCTGTTGCTATATACCAATGAGTTAAAACTTTCGGCTCAAAAAGCAAATTTTCCACCAAGCTTAACCTACCTTAGCTAACATCCACGCATTCATAGGCCCAACCCAAAAACGCCTATTACCAACTTTCCCGTAAGACAGGCTGCCTTGGCTGGCACTTTTTTCTTGGCGGCCACCTCCCGATTGTTACTGCGATTTTTTCCACGGCCTTTTTATTTTATTCGCTTCATTCTTTAAGGCTTGCGTAAGCCATCGAGGTCTGTTAGTTAAACTCTTTCCTGACAGTATTGCGATCAGCTTGTGAAGCATTTTTCAGAGCCGTTGCCGATCTTCGAGTATGATTCCAACAAATACGGACTCCCACTCAATGCATGGACATGTGACGAGATATGCCCATTTGGTGTCTGGATGTCCTAATGCTTCTGGTATGGACATTAAATCGTCGTTCTTAGCGTAAGTGTTCGGTAACGGATAGATCAGCCCAAGGAGTGATGAGAAAGTGCACTTGCGAATGACAGAGACAAGAATTGATTTCACATTACCGATGCTAATTCTTATGACGCTTGGTGCCTTAGAAGGGTCTAAACTGGTATTGTAAATGGTGGTATTAGTGTGATGTGTTGGGGGATGGGATGCGAGTTATTCCCGTGGGCATTGTGCTGTTGCTCACAACGGACGACGCTACAGATGCACAGTGCCAAGCCAGGATTTTTTGGCCCACGGGGTCACTCAATCGGCCCAGTTGTTTCCGTGTGAGCCCAAAACTACTGCCGCGGTGGACGGGGAGGGGGCGGTGTGTGGTGCCATTTAATCAGCGCATTTCACTGCATCTCATTTGAGCACCAGTTGGCTGACAGGTTTGAGCCTCGGACTGACACATGGGAGAGGAAAGATGGCGTGAGGTCAACACAAAGTAAGACGTTTTACGACTCATCAGCGCATATCTAGTTAGCATAATAATTCCGACCCACTTGATCTTGATATTTTTCGCAATTGTATCCCTAACATATGCAAATTCGTTAACTACTGTGATTTACTTTCGGCTTTCATTGAAAAAGGGGTCGGTGTTCTCACTATTCGATGCGGCTAGTGCACAGCTACCGCCATTGCCGTTCTGATAGAAAACCCGAAGTTTTGGCGGCCGGGGTCGAAGAGGTCCCCTCTATGTTCTGCTCCTTTGTCGTTTATAGCGCGCAGTCGTCAACAAATATTGGATCCATTTTGACCCGACTGTGAAAAACTCGGCACCTCGGTGGGATTGGAACCCACGCAGTAAGGGAAAGGCATTAGTACAACCAACGCTATAACCATCTAAGCTACGAGGTTCCGCCAGATGACGAGAGTTTAATCACATTTGGGTCAAGTTTCCCGCCCAACCTACTGCAACGTCTGGAATCCACCCCATAACATACAGTAAGTTGACTGCATAAGCAGAATTTCCTAAGTAATTCACTCGGAATCCACCAGATGACTACCGAGCTCACGTAACTCATAGATGTTTTGGCGGGTTGGAACAGTTGGATCAATATGAATTATTTAAAAATCTGCCAAA